CTCCCTGAAGTTACCTGCCCTTTGAGCTGCTGCAAAGGTTTGGGCAAAAAGTAATAATCCAAAGGCAAGAAAAGAGTCTTTGGTGCGGACGTGCACAGACGTGGGTTTTGCAGACTGTTAGAGGCAGATGGTGGGGGGGCACTTCCCCTCTGGGTCCAGCATGCATCAGGTGTCACAAGCTGTGCTGCAGTGCTTCAAGAAGTTGTTAAAGAAGAAAGAATGCTCCTTTTCAATTATGAAACTGGGCCAAAAGGAGTCTCATGAGGTTCAACAAGGACAAGTGCAAAGTCCTGCACTTAGGTCAGAACAACCCCATGCACCAGGACAGGCTGGGGGCTGACTGGCTGGGCAGCTCCGCAGAAAAGGACCCGGGCGTCACAGTGGACAAGGAACTGAATAGGAGCCAACAGTGTGACTTTATTGCCAAGAAGGCTAATGGCATCCCACTGTACTGGTAGGACTATTGCCAGCAGATTGAGGGCAGTGATTCTTCCCCTCTATTCAGCACTGGGGAGGCTGCATCTGGAGTCCTCTATCCAGTTTTGGGCCCCCACTACAGAAAGGATGTGGACAAATTTGAGAGAACCCAGTGGAGGGCAACAAAAATGGTTCAGGGGCTGGGGGACAGGACTTGTGAGGAGAAGCTGAGGGAACCGGGCTTATTTAATCTGGGAAAAGAAGACTCGGCAGGGATTAAATAGCAGCCTCAACTCCCTGCAGAGGGTTGCAAACAGGATGGATCTGGACTGTTCTCAGCAGTGGCAGATGACAGAGCAAGGAGCAATGGGCTCAAGTTGCAGCAAGGGAAGTTTAGGTTAGGAGTTGGGAAGAATTTTCTCACAAGGAAGGCAGTGAAGCACTGGAACAGGTTACCCAGAGAGGTGGTGGAGTCTCCATCCTTGGAGGTTTTAAAGGCCCAGCTTGACAAAGCCTTGGCTGGGATGATGTACTTGGGGCTGGTCCTGCTTTGAGCAGGGGGTCAGACTAGATGTGACTTCCTGTGGTCCCTTCCCACCCTCATTTTCTATGATTTGATTCTCTAAAACAGGTGGAGTGACCTTTGGCATCTCTGTCTTTCATGACAGATTTAATGGATCTCAGTCCCTCTGCCCTGCACAAGAGGCCAATTTGTTACCAAACCAGCTGGTGGGTACAGTCATTGAAAACTGGCTTGTTTCCTCAGCTGGCTCATCCAGTGGTCCAAACTGAGGAAACTCCACAGGTGCTAACACCGATCTCCTTGTATCTCTCTCCCTCCTCTGCGTGTCAGAGAGGTGTGGGGAAGGGCTCTGATATTTTCATTCCTCAGTATTAAATTGCCAACAAGTTCCTCCTGTGATTTTCACACCCCACCCCCGCGGACATCTCCTTCCTGTTCTTTGGTGCTGTTTTGAGTCTGCCTTTGCATTTGCAAAATGAGTCTAGCCAGGGATTTTCCCACCTGCCCAGAAAGTCCATTCCTCTTGTGGCAGAAAGCCACCTTTGTTTCTCCCCCAAAAACTCTGCTGTGTGACAGTTGTGATTAGGATGGGCCCAGCAGAGGATACATACCTTTACCCTATCTCTTTGGGTAACCTGAGCTTGATACATTCCTGAGGGAGGGGGGAAATCTGCTTCCTCTGCCTACGACTGGCATCACATACCTGGGTGAGGGGCTTCCTTCCCAGTGGGCTAGAGTCTGCCCGGCAACTAGTGATGTATTTCAAATTGGTTGGCTGACAGCCAACAGGTGCTGACCTCCATTGGACCAGGTAAATGAGGTCACAAGGGCTATATAAGTTAAGGACTGCCCAGGAAAGCAGGGCAGCAGCCATGAGGGATACTCAGAAACAAAGAAACTGGCTCTCTCTCTCAAAACTCATGCTCAAGGAACTGCCTGCCTCCAGAGGGATTCTCCAACAGCCTCTGGATGATACTTGTGAGTCAGCTAACTGAGATCCAACTAGATATATAGCTTGCAGTAATCAGATGTGAGATCAAAGGCTACCCCAGCCACAGAAGTTTGATCTATGAGATTTCTGATATTGCTCTACCCTGTACCCTATTCTAACCCTACCCTCTGTAACCAATAAAGTTCTCCTTTGTACCTAGTGTGGGAGACTTATTGGGAGTGGGTCTAGATTATGCCTTGGGGTCCCCTTGGTTCAGCTGACTAAGGGAGACCACTACTTGTGCTTCTGACTGAAAGTTCTTGTATCGGGTAAAGTACCCATAGGACTATTAGGCTTGTGTTTCCCCAAGGACACAGGTCCCAGATAGTCCCTTCTCGGGGTGGTGGCAGCACATGTTACCCCCAGACTCTGTGGTGGGGCTCAAAAAGGGGTCTGCCAGGGTTTGGTTGCCCCTGGAGAGACACGTGGAGTCCGAAAGGTGGACGGGCGTGGTGAGGTGGGAGGCTCAATGCAGGAGCTCCCCCTACTGACCCGCCACACCCCTTCCTGCTCTGAATGCACTGGGTCCATGCATGGCAATGGCAGTGCTGGATAGGTGAGCAGCCTAAAGCAGGTATGGACGAGGGAGTAGAAAGCACCCTGTTCAAGTTTCAAAACCAAACCATGGGGGGTGGTACACAAACTAGATGGCAGGGAGCGAATCCAGGCTGATTTGGCCAGGCTGGGGAAATGGGCCAACAGAATAGGATGCAATTTAACAAGGACAAGTGTCATGTGTTGCACCTGGGGAGGATGAATCATCAACACTTCTGTAGCCTGAGAGGGACCACTCTACATAGCACAACTATGGAAAGGGGTCTCAGAGTCATAGTCAACTCCAAAAGGAACATGAGTTCCCCATGTGACGAGGTAATAAGTAAAGCTAACCGCACCCTTTCTTGCAGAAGTAGGTGCATCTCAAACAGGTCCAGGGAAGTGATACTTCCCCTATGTGGCATTGGTTAGGCTGGGACTGGTACTGTTCAATATCTTCATTAGTGACTTGGACGAGGGAGTAGAAACATGTAAACAAACTAAATGGCAGGGAGCAAATCCAGAGGCCTACAGAAAAAAACGTATGTGGACCGATTGGGAGACCTGAACCTCTTCAGCCTCCATAAGAGGAGGCTGAGAGGTGATCTCATGGCCACCTACAAACTCATTTGGGGGGGGGGGGGGGGCAGCAAGAAATAGGGGATACCGTGTTTACCAGGGTGCCTGTTGGGGTAACTAGAAATAATGGCCACAAGCTAGAAGATCAAATTCAGATTGGACATCAGGAAAAAATTCTTTACAGCGAGGGTTGCCAAAATATGGAATAAGCTTCTAAGGGAGGTGGTGCTGTCCCCTTCCTTGGAGGTGTTTAAAAGGAGATTGGACAGACACCTGGCTGGGGTCATCTGACTCCGGCACTCATTCCGGCTCAGGGCGGGGTCAGACTTGATGATCTAATAGGTCCCTTCCGACCCCAACATCTATGAAACTGTGGACTCCCCCCTCCTCCTGCAGCCACTCTCCTCCAGCCCAGTCCCAGTGTGGAGCTTTTCTACCTGCCTTGTCTCTTCCCACAGCATCGTCACATGTTGCCCCACTGCCTCCAACTAGGCTTAAGCATGTTTAACACCTGCCACAGGCTCGGGGTGCTTCCCGGCTGAGACTGTTCTCCTTTCTACGGGGCCTCAGGGTCCATTCTGGTGAGACGCACAGGGTGGAGTCAGTTCCCTCTTCTTCTGTCTCAGCTGCACCACATAAGCATGTCAGATGGCACCATGAGCTCCACACGTCAGCACCAGTGATAAGCAACTGCTAATATTTCCCCCCACACCATAGCCACTGGAAGCTGCATTCTGCAACAGGCAGAGGGTCTGAGATGCAGCAGAGAGGCATGAAACAAAAGGGGACCAGCCCCTCCTGCTGGATACTGACCCCTTCCAGCCCCAAGCGGTTCCCATCCATTGCAGGGACCATCTGCTGTTCGCACAGAGGAGAGGCGATTATGGACAAACCATTACAGACAATGTAGCTGCTTTCCTCCAGCCCATGGAGATGGGTCAATGCCCATGGCACCATGGGGCAAGGCTCCAGCAGGAGCTGAAAGCGCTGGTAGATGCTGGGGTCAGAGCAGGGGCTGTCAGGTGGGTTTCCATAGACTAGGAGCACAGGGAGCTCTCATTTCAGGTCTGTTGTGGATGCCATATTGCAACAAGCTTCAGTATTTTGTCCTCTGCCTCTTACTTCTGCTCATTGCCTGCAAAACACAGCCTCATTCAAGTCATGCTGGGGAACTGCCCTGCTGGAAGGGATGGTCAGGGTCCTTGGTTCCCCCCAGCCTGTATACAAGGGGGCCTTTCTTCCTCTATCCTGCTCCAGCTCATTCTGGAGTCGGGAGGGTTTGGCTGTCAGTTCCAGTGACTTTTGGAGCCAGACTTTAGGGCAAAGGGACTGAAATGCTTCCTCCCATCCCAGCCTTCAGGCTAAGTGCAAGGTATTTTCTGTTTTCAGGCTGCACTAGCCATTTGGGCCCCATCAGAAGAGAACCAGTCCCAGACTTTATCATGGACAAAGAAAAACCCTACAGGGAACTTTTTATTTGTAAGGGCAGTGGTCTTCCTTTCCATTACCATACAAGAGAAGTTTATCTTATGGCTACACACCTGTCAATGTGTTGGTCTAGATCTTCAATTAGGGTAGAGCCATTCACTTCAGGAGAGTTATCCCATCATACAGTGACTGCAGATCTGTGATGTGTGCAAACAAGCACACCCCTCCCCTGCCCAAACACCCTTTGTGCAGCAAGCAGAGATGGTCCTTGGATTGATCTCTCTCCTACTGGTCTTAACTAATCTGTCCCTGTATGGGCCCAGACTGCACCCCCACGGATTTAGCTTTCTAGGAAATCCAGTCCCTGAAAAAAAACTCATTCCCTCCCTCTCCTCTGTCAGCATTCATATCCGAGCCCTCACGCGGCTCCGGCCGTAGCAGACCTACACATTGGACTCTGGGGCCGTCTCCTGCATGTAGATGCTTCCCTGAAAGCACAGATAGCGATTCTCCTGGTTGCACTGGGTTCCCACAGCTGAGATGTGGGACAGAGTTGCTTGCCTAGTTGCCTTCAGGGGAGCTGCTCCTGAGATGTACGAGGACTGAGAGGATGCAGCCTCTGCATTGGTCCTGCTTCACTACCTTACAAACTATACGAAAATCAGTGAAGGCAAGGAAAAAGCAGCCGCCATTGCTTTATGCAAAGAACCTGCCCCTACTTTAGGCATCTGCAAAGGAGCATTGACTCAAGGAAGGTTGCTTTTTTAACACCATCCTTCCCTCCCAAACCTTTGCACACCCCCTGACGTAACCCTGTTCTGGTGAAAGTATTGGATGTTCTCTTCCAACTCTCTCCATGCATTTGTTTCACCAACGTTTGGCATGCCCCCCAAATGGCAAGAAGACCTGTGATGGAGGTATTGCACTTCTGACTGCTGGACTGGAAGGCTTCCATGTCTGGGGAGTTTTACACATTGGAAGAACTTGGGTCAAAGTCGGAGCCATGTCTCAGGTGGTGATCTGAGCAGATGAGCACCTTCTACTCTGCTTGGAGCTGGCTCCAAAATCCAAAGCAGTTAAAGATTGTAATGTTGTGGTGCACGCAGGCCACCAGCACTTGGGATAGGGAGGCATCGCTTTGGTGGAAGGAGAGCTGAGCTGGGAGTGTGCAAGGGTCTGCCGAAGGGTTCATTGACCTGTAAGAAAATCGATTCCTTTAAAGGAATCACAGGGTATTGCTCACCTCTTTCCCAGACTGTTGACATTTGCACAAAAGGCTGCAGAACAACAGGGCTGAGATCAGGGCCCCCATCCAAACCAGGCACAAGTGGGGAACAGCGAGGGCTGTGTTTGGAGGCTGGCTTGGCCTGGTGCTCACGTGGAGTCCCAGGACTAGGCTTTGGGGGCAGCAGCCCTCTTCCCCAGCCCAGGCGCCATCCCTGCAGTAGGGCTGAACTGCACCTCAGGGGCAATGCACATGTGGGGTCAAATCCGCAGCTGACATGTGGACAGCACAGGATAACAGCTCACCCCATAGAGCTGCAACTTATTTGCTCCCGTAGTGGCAAGGGTTTGGGTTTTTTTTCCTTTCCCTCTGGGGAGGAAACATTGCTCACCCTCTCCTTTTCCTCCTGTCCCCACCCTGGGGAGCTGGATCCCAGGTCTGGCCCCTTTGCCAGGGACCCAGGTCTCCGGGACAAGCAGCATTCAGCCATGGAGTGTTATCCCCTGCTTCCACCCCCACCCCCCCCAGGGCTTCATGTGCTGGGAACCCCCCATCACCTCCATATAGATGGTCGAGGTCAAGGCTGGGTTGAGTTTCCTCTTCTTGACAGAGTCTGGCTGAGAAGCAAAGCAGGACAGGTGGTTACATACTCCACCAGCAGGATGGGAACCCCCAGGCTTTTCTGCCTTTCGATTCCCATGCATCACCCCTACAAGGTCCAGCATCCTCTAAAGGGGAGCGGGTGGTGGACTCTACCAGGACTGCAAAGGGCTGAGGACCTTGCTCCCTGCAGCTCCCCTGAAGTTAGCTGGGCAAGGGCTGTGTCCCGCATCTCAGCCATGGGGAACCCAGTGCAACCTGGATTTTCAGAGCAATTTCAGTACTTCAGGATGCAGACAGATGCCCAGTGGGTCTTCTAGTGCCAGGCACTGGCTCTTATGAACCCCTCATCCTCTTACCTACATGGTCAGGCACTCCAACCCCTTTGACAACCAGGCCCATGGAGTCAAACTGCTGTCGTTGCCTTTGCATATCCCCCTCACCATGCAAATCTCCCCCTATTTCTCTGCCCCACTTCAGTTTCCATGAATGACTTTGCAGCAGCCTAAGTGTTGCAAAACCCACTTGGCAGTTTGCCCTCCAAAGTTTAGCAGCCCAGGTTGGGATGAAGCCACTTGGGATGAAGACCCAAGACATGCCATTGTCATGGCCCACCCAGATGCTGCTAATTATCCCTGGAAAGACTCACCTGTGCATGGGGCTGGATGGTGCTGTACAGGGTGCAGCCTATTTCTCTAGGAGCCCGGGTGTTTGGCTTCTTTGGAAAAAAAGAGACAAGCTCAATCAGTGGAGGGCCAATGCTCACGCAGGGGTAAATCAGCTGGTGTAACTTCACACGGCTTCGCTGACCTGGAGAGTCGGAGGGGCTCGTCCTTTCCACTCTGAGCCCAAATCTGAAGCCGCTTTGTATAAATCTGAAGTTCAGGTCTGAAAGGATGGGGTGAGCCAGGCTGGAAAGAAATCTGGGCACTTACCTGTCCCTTGGCAAGGACCTCTGAATAGATGGTGTTTCCAATCATGCTGCCCTGTGCATTCCCATCCTGTTTAAGAGAAAATAACCATCCAGGGGGTGAAAATAGCAAGGGTCAGTGATGAGGGATGATGTTTCTTTTCTCTCTTTATGAAACGACAACACTGGGCTAACTATTGAGCAAACAGAAATTCAGCAGGTTCTGATCCAAAGGCAAGTGAGATCAGTAGGAATCAGTCCATGGGTTTGAACTGGCTTCGGCTCAGGTTCCTAGAAGATGCTGGCTCCAGAGTAATTCAGATAAGTGCAACGAGACACAAAGGAGACAAAACCTGGCAGGGGAAAGCACTTCACAGCTGCTGTAATGAGATGAGAATGGCTCCTAGAGGGCAGCAATGGCTCACGGAGCCAGTGGAAACAGCAGTGCTGCAGCCAGGACATGTCTATGAGCACATCCCACCTCTGAGCTAATGGGCATGGTATTCACCTTTTGCAGACAATTTTTTTTAGTCTGAGCTTTCAAGGATAGATGGAGCAAGCTGCGGGCATGGCAGATAAATTGGCATGCTGTACTTAGATAGAAATGTGATAGAAGTAGGGGCTTGACATGCACTAGGTATGTCGGATATTTGAGGTGCTTTTATGCCCTGTATTGATGTGATGTATATGTGAATTCTGTAACATAACGTGCCATTATATATGCACCTATGTGTTCATGTAGTCAGTGTGCTAGAGGCAATATCTTCTATTAGACCAACTAGTTGTTTTCTCTTTATTTGCAAGCTTCTGGGCACACATGCCCTTCCTCAGGCTTAGGGGAATGCAAAGATTATATGTGTACATGCACATATACTTGTCAAGCTCGCATTTCTGTCACCATTTGATCTCAACACACTGCCAAGTGAATTGTATACCAGATCCCTGCATGACAGCATCTTCCCTTGACACACAGACATACCCCGGATGCAACACAGTTGGTGTTCAGCAACTCACTGTCTCCATCCTCAAGCCAGATGGGATGGGACAACACCTCTCCTT